ATTAAATGTTATCAAGTACGAAAAAAAGTTGCTAGGTAGCAGTTGGGGGACTTTTACTCTTCAGAAGCCTTGGAAATGGGAGCCTCTGACATTTACAGGGTTGTAGGATGGTAGTGATATAGGTGGCTGTTGAATGCACGCATGCCGCATTTGAAATGTCACTTGTTTGTCTCTGTAAATCCACTGGAAGAAGTGACAATTATTTTGTGTGTCTCTTCCAGCAGAGTCTCCTCTGTGAGTTGATCCCACATAGGCTTGTGAGAAATGGTTTAATTTGCTCTTCTGACACTTGGTGAGAAGGCGACCTGTTTTAAGTCTCCAGGAGTCTTGGTTCCCATGACTTCTTCCCGCCCCCCCTTTCTTTTCTGTGTAGATAATCCCAGTTTTCACATACCTTTTCAGGCCAGTAATCTCCCAAGAGAAATGCCACCACGTCCCCTCTCTCAGCTTCTCTGTAGCTCCTGATAGGGAGAGGCAGACATTACGTTTATGGAGCCTCTTGGTTTTTAGTATTTTCTCATGTCACTGTCTATCCTGTGGAAATACCAGAGGTCTTCCATTCTGGGACAGGGTTACCCAATGCATTAGAAGTGCCTTCTGCCAAGTAGAGGTAAAAACTTCAGCCCTGCCTGCATATTTCCACGAGTGATCTTCAGTCTCTGAAATATCACACAAAAAAATTAAGGCTTTATACCATACCTGCTTGCCTGTATATTCCCCCTCTACACCTATGCCCAGTTATTCTAGCCACTATTGTCTTGCATTTTTGCCTAGATGCAGCCCAGAGCTGATATCCTCTCTTGTAGATGCCAAGATCGAGTAGGTGCCTTGCCTTGTGAATTTACTCTGTCACTTGCAACCTAGTGTAGCTGGCACCTGGGGGACTTGAGAGAAGACGCTTGTAAACCCATTGATTGTTGGACCATGGCAGGAGGTGTGAAAAAGCTACGTGTCCTGGATGATGACCTGTAAGCTCTCAGTATGCTCCCAGACTGTGCCTTTCCAAAGGGCATTTTTCATTTGAGGGACCTACATTTTCATTTGTAGTCATCAGATGGATCAAGACTGTGGCCAAATCTGCACTTCTTTTCTGCACAGACACCAGAAGAAGGTTTGACTGAGAAGCACTGTGTTCTTATGCTGAGTGCATTGTAATTCACAGGTCAAATTCCTGCTCTTGGTACTAGCGGGTCTGAATAGCGTTTTCTAGAAGCTGTGCATGGATACTTCTGCTTTGAGTTAATTCAAGGCCTGCACATGCAGTTTCCTTCTGTCTGCGTATATATACACAGATGATTATTATGTTGATAAGCTTTCAATTCAGTGGGACTGTTTACCTTTTTCTCTTGGGAAACTGAAATGTGGTGCTTAGATAACGTGCTCTCCAGACTTGCTATTAAATTAATGACTAGTGATTCCACAGATTTCAACAAGATGGGCCAAGGTTGCATTTTGGGCAGATCATTTCTGGAGGTGGAAGAAAGGTTTTGTTCTTACAGCTCTTGTATTTAAGTAATAAACTAACAATTTACTCAGTTGCTCGCAGTCCTGGCTAAATTCAGGGGACTGCTGATGCTGCTGCAGTTGCAGTATTAACGTTACTCTTAAATCATTACAGGCATTGAATTCTGCTGATCTCAGAGGTCTTTTCCAACCTAACAATTCTGTGGTTCTCTGTCAGCTGCTTTACGCACTTCACGTGCCTGATCGTGATCTTACAATCAGTTCTTGGAGCCATGCATATGCAATGCTTATCATTAGATTATAATTAACTGTAATTATGTACGGAGATCAGTCCAAGCCATAAAATGTGAATTCTGATATTTACTGTGCTAATAGGAAGATTTGGTGAAGATAAAGGGCTTGATTTTCTTTATTTTTTAATTTTTACTGCCACAATAGTGAGACAGATTCCTAGCGAAAGTGTTGTTAAAATAAGTATCGCTGTTAAAATAAGTATCGCTGCAGTTGACGTCCATATTACGGCTTTCTTACTGCAAATTGCTATAGGTGAAATTCAGGCCCGAAAGGTCATGTCATTCACATGGTGAAATACTGCCTCAGAGAAGCTGAGACAATAGAAAACAAGTTGCAGGAGCCCTGGGAGGCGAGTTTGTCCACAGGCATGCCAGCAAGTGGTTTGAACTATATATAAACATTCCTGGTAGTTACTCACCTAAGGACAAGTTTGCAAAAGGTGCAGTGGGATTTCTGCTGAGGAAAGGGGAGGATTCCCCTTTGTTTCAGTGCTGCAGTGATGTGCCAGGTGTGTGCAGATGTGCTGTGTACAGGGCATGCTGTCCCTGACACTGATGAGCAGGAAACCGACTGGTGTGTTGAGCTGCTGTGTTGCTATGCTAACTCTGCAGTCTTAACTCTAAATGCTTTATTGAATAAACAAACCAATTAAGTAATGTTGGGAATGATAAAAAAGATTTAATGGCTTCTGTGACTAAGGTTCTGCATTAGGATTTAGCTTTTGCTGTGGGGAGACGGTTGCTTTTTTGGTTTGTTTGTTTACATCTGGGAGTCAAATCTTGCGTGTTGTGCAAATAATTTAGTCTTTATGGCTGTTAGTGCTGCATATAAAGTGTTGCTGTGTTGATACCTGCTGGCTTAGTGAAGCAGGAAGGGATATATTTATGCATGTTACTGTTTACTGTATTTAATGGAAATGAAAAGTGAAGTAATAAATTAGGGAACACCTCATTGGAATTCTTCTTTATTTTGGAACAAAGCATCGGTGTTTCAGGATCCAGGTTAATTGCAGCCTGATGGCCTGGATACACTGAAAGTCCTCTCCCTTTCCCCCTGATGTGGTGTTTCAAGTGGATATGATGTGGTTTGCTGTGGACTGGAAGGCTCCATTTTGGAAAGATTTCTTGTAACGGTGAGGGAGCTACAAAATGATTTTCAAAGCATCCCTGGGTGTAGTTCCTGATACAAGAGTATGGAGTGGGATGATGAACGGGGATGGGTTGGACAGGAGCCCTGTAGTTAGAAGAACTGCTGGATGTCTCATACATTCACTTGGTGTTTTCTTCCTGAAACCGCTTCCAGGCACTGAAAGCTGCTTGGATCGGGCTGGGTATTGGTCGGCGGGTGATGAGCAATTGTATTGTGGATCACTTGTGGCTCTTTTTCCCCCTTTTCCATTTTAGTTTTATATTCTCTCTCCCTATTTTTTCCCTTCTTGTTATTATTATGACTACTAGCAGTATTATATTGTATTTCAGTTATTAGATTATTGTTCTCTCAACCCATGGGTTTTATATTCTTTCAGTTCTCCTCCCCATCCCACCTGAGTGGGGGAAGAAAGAAGGGTGAACAAATGTCTGTGTGGTTCTGAGTTAACAGCTGGGTTTAAACCATGATAGTCCTTTTTTTATGCTTTATCCTTTTATGCAAAATCTTTTAAAAAATGTAACTGTTTTAACCACTTCCTAATTTAACTATGTAAAAGGCACATTAGCACAAAACCAAAGGAATTGCAATACCTGGCTGCATGACTAACAGTGCTCAAACGTTAATCAGGTATTTAAACATCTAAGTTAAAATTGTATCCTCTAATAACATTACTGTCCTAGTTGTGAAGAAAATCAAAACATTTAGCCAGTTTGTTTGCTAAGCATGTATGTCTGACTCCTGCCAGAGGACCCATGGAATCTTTCTTTGCTCAGGGGAAGAGTGACATGGCACTTTATAAGATAATAACTTTCAGTTGGAAAATAGATACAAAGTGAGTGAAGGATTCTGTTATGTTTCCAGACTGGAACTGTATACAGTTTTCTGTGGTTTGTACTACTTGATGTATCGATTATGATTGCGTATTAGCCCTCTGTATTAACATATTACATGACTGTATTCTCTACCTGCAACATCGTGTCTGCAAGTGGTACAGCTCGGAACTGTTGCTGTAGGACACTTCAGTAGTTTCTGGTTACAAAACATGGCAAGCAGTGGTAAAAGCACGCCTGATGCTGCTTAATGCCTTTGGATTCCCAGCAGGAACATGTCTTCTTTCCTTTTGGTTGTGTCTTAATTAAACCTTGACAAGACATCCCTCGCTGTGATGCCTGATGTGGGCATCTGATTGCCTGATGCTTCTTAGCAGAGCAAGCTGGGGACAGAGGAGTGTTTGCAGAAGATGATGTGAGATTAGAGGTTAGATAGGGAAGCTCTTGTTTTCCTTGTGACTGTAGAGGATGGTTGGAGTGGAATGGCTTCTTATGTAGACTTTCATGGCCACAAGTCTAACTTGAAACTAATGATCTCTGCGCCTGCTGGGGCTCAGATCAGTGTCTCTCCTGAGAAGTCTTTATCATCCAAAATGCTCCTTGATCGGACCTTTAACAAAGCCTTTGGTTTGAAAACCTCCTGGTCTCCAATTTAGATGACATGGCATTTGTTTGTTTCTGGATCAGCCAAATATTCGGTTGCAGTATGTAGAGCAAAATGCAGTATGTAGAGCAAAATACAGTTTGGAGCATGAAGTGCCACAATGATTGACTGTGTGTGCTGTGTATTGCTGGGTGCCTGTTCTGGCAGAAACTGAAGTGTTAGACCAAAAGCTTTAAAATCAGATATTTTAATATTAGTTTCTCGTGTACTTCTGTATTTAGGCTGAGAGAGGCTCAAACGTTGCAGAGTTGCCAATTATAGGAATCCATCCGGGATGATCAGGGAAACAAGTACCTAGCACGGCTGCAAATTGTGTTGCTTTGCTTCCTGTGATTGAGTTTTTCTGCACCCAAGCTGGAAGTTGTTAGATAACAGCTTTTGTAAGAGGGGAACCAGAGAGCTTTTTTATTACTAACTTCCACAATAGAGAAAGGATTTGGCTCTTGGACAATTTCTAGGGAGAGTAAATTTTAGGAGTTCAGATATAACAGTCTAGAATCCTATGATCTGTCAGAAAATCTCCTTTTGCTGTAGCTGTTGCAGTAGGTTACAGCTAACAAATGTTGCTAACCTGTATTAATTTCAATTTCCCCTTGCAGTAATGCGTAGAAATCCATTTGGGATGGACATTTGCTGCCGGAAAGGATCCAGAAGCCCACTCCAGGAACTGTATAATCCCACCCAGGTGAGTGTTTCATGGCTGTGATGGAACTTTCCAAGCCCAGTGTACAAATACAGTCTCTCTTGAAGGTATTTTGGTGCTTTTTTTCTTATTAATATGTAATAGCTGCTGGTCCTGGGACCTGCAGAATTTAGCCATAAAGTTCTACAGTTTAAGTTGAGGGCCCAATTTTTAAAGGTTTTTAATCTTCTGGTGATGTGAACTCCTCCATTTATTTTTTTTTTTTTTTCCTGAGGTACCTAAAAGCTTTTAAAGAGTACTTTTAGTACTAGGTAGAAGCTTGAAGCATTGTAGTTTGGTCTGTCAACACACAGAGTGGCAGGGTGGAGTGAGAGAATGCGATATGATATGCATGAAACAAGGAGTGTGGTAAGACTGTATATCACAATAATAATGCATGAATATAATTTATATGGCTTTCAGGAAGCCAGCTGCCCCTCCTGTGCTGGTTCATTGCTTGTATGGAGTCTAGACAAACACAGTAGCTCATATTTGCTGTTACACTGTGTGCTATTTAACACCTGACAGTCTTGATGGAGCTTAAGATAATCTCAGCTAGAGTTCCTCTTGTGACAAGCAGCATGGAAAAGCTACCTGAAATTCATGCTCCCATTTGCTCCTCTAGATCAATTTATTCCCTCCATGTAGGCTGAATTGGCACATTCAGAAGCAGCATTTCCTGTTGGCAGTCGAGAGGAAGTGCTGCCATTGAGAGAAAATGCCAGCTGACTATTAAACATATTTATTAAAGTTTAACAACCGCCTATTATATATTTAACCATCAATGAATACATTGAGTTTTACTAAATTGGCTATTAAGGAAAGAGACTATCCCAATAAATCTAACTTGTTAGATTTAACAAGGCAGTAAATGTTATAAATAATATTTGGTTATGAAGAGGCTCACTGTATCACATGCAAAATGAAGTCTAAGGGAGTTAAAGTATTTATATGAAGAATTGACAACAACCCAAAGATGTGATATCTGCTGTGTAGTGCAGTAAAGCTCCATTTGCTCAATAGTGTTATTTTTATGGACATAGGCTGACTTTCTGATTCAATCTGAATTCTGTGCATGGCTGGGAACATGAGTTTATCATGCTAATATACTAGCCTTTATTGACCATTATGGGACTTAGCACTGGGTAAATGGAAAGTGCATGTAAAAGCCCTGAAGAACATTAAGTGCTACAAAGGAAAAAAATATTAGCATTTGCAGACTAAATGTGAAGACTCTTTGCAGATGCTCAAGAAGGGTGGGTAAGGGAAAAGAGATTGAGTAATTTTTCTCTCTGGGGCTGCTGTGTGTCATCCGAAACTGCTTGGCCCTTTAACATCGTTAAAGGCCATCCCATAAGAAACAAACATCCCCATCCATTGAACGGCCGTAATCCCAGAGCCCTTGAAAACTTGGTTAGCTGAAAAGGTTTCCTGAGCTTCCTGAAGCAGGGGACGCAGCTGGCAGCTCCTTCGCTGCCTCTGCTTCCTTTCTACATGCCCTGACCAAGCAATTCTTTATCATCCCTTTCCGGGCTTGCCTATGAGCCAGCCAGAGAAGTTGACGTTTGAGGAAGTGTGGAAGTTCTTGCAGCCGATGTTGACCTATGTAGATGATGTTTTTTTATGTCAAAGTGTTTCCATCAGCTTATTGACATCCGTTCTTATCAAGTTTTTGAGTTTCATTTCTTTCTTTGTTCCTAATTGGTGTTTACTTTTTGGATGGGGCTTTGCATGCCACACTCAGTTCTAGAGGGACTGGCAATGGCAGACAATCAAGTGCGTACACTTTGGGAAAACAGCAAGAAAAAGCAGTAAGTAGAGGTTGCAATAGAAGACAACAGGCTGGCAATGACACTTAGAATATTTCTCAAAATACATGTTTTATCTTTATTTTTCCTTTTTTTTTCCCCAAGAAATGTCTGCCTCACCTTTCTTAAGACGGCAGATTGGAGACTGGTCTGCATTCTGGCAGTAGGATGCGTTTTCCTTAAGTATTTGTGAGGGTGGAGGTTGGACCCCTAATCTTTCCTTGCTGAAGCAGTTGTGATCAGCCATTTGTAAAGTCAGTTCAGAAATCAATGTACATAAATATATGAGAAGACAAGGCCACACTGGATGGGGCTTTGAGCAACCTGGTCTAGTGGAAGGTGTCCCTGCCCATAGCAAGGGGTTCAAACGGGATGATCTTTAAGGTTCCTTCCAACCCAAACCATTCTGTGGTTCTGTGAAGACATTTTTGGCCAACATCTCTCTCTTACTGATCTGGATAATGAAAACACTGGTTAGATCTTTAACCCTTGACCATCAGAACTTGATGGACTCCTGATGTTTTGAACCCACACTTTTATCCATGGTGCTGATGGCTGTGTGCCATCAGAGGAACTCTTTGGCACTTAGTTTAGCTGCCTTAGAGTAATAGTGGAACTGATAGAGCAGATATCTGTAGCTCTCCTTGTAGTTCAAAGGAATCTGTGTAATTCAAACATCAGACTTGGGCTGCTGAAAAATGCCCTGCAGCTATGGCTTTGGATTACTACAAGCGAGGCACAGTTGTGGTTTAATGATAGGAAACTTTAAATATTTAAGATCTCTGTGTGCATGTTTTTTACCTGATATAGCAGGAGAACCCAACTATGGCTTGCCATCCCCTGCTATAGAGTGCGCAGTATATTCCACATTTCAGTTTTCCTTGTGTATGCAGCAGTGCACAGCCATGGCTGCTGCTGCTGTTCCTGGGAATGTCTCCAGGACCCCTGAGAGAGATGGGAAAAGGAGGAGGCTCCCTGCTTTGAGGTGGTATTAAGGACCCATACATCCTCAGAAGCAGTGTGCTCCTGGCTGTTTCCTATCAGGGGAGATGAGGGTTTGGCCATCAATTAAAATAGGTGCCAGATAGGGTCAATACTCTCTACTATTTAAAATGCCATCGTTTAACATGAATAAGGTTTTTCTACTGTGTGTTCAGCATTAGGATGCACTCCCCTTGTAAAACCAGATGGAGGCAGGTTGATTTACACCAGCTGAGAATTTGACTGTGGGCATTTACTGCGTTGACATATAACAGCCTCTCTGATCCTGTGCTGCTTTGTTTCCTTCTATGCAGTTGTTTGAGTTGTTTGCAGATGCCATCATTGGTCTCTTGAATCTCTTTTTGGTTTGGTAAGTGATTGCGAAAAGGAAAGGGAAAGGAGGAAATAAAAGCAGAAAAGAAGAAAGGAAGAGGAAAAAGAAAAAAGCAACAACAACCCAGGGAGATTTGGCTTGAGTAAATTTAAATGTAGGAATGATCTGGAGGTTACTGAAAGGTTGGGAGCTTATGGGGGCAGAATGTTAGGGTTACAGTCAGTTTTTCAGTGGACTGATCATAATTGTTCATACTTCTGGTGGAGGAGAGGATAAATGGGTGCAGATAACACTAAATTAGGGCTAAAGAATGTCCATGACAAAGCCAAAGCCCGTATGTTATTTATGTCTTGATTGTCTGTCCTTGTGATTGTTGTAAGAAGTAGGGATGTCACTTTTGCTCTTTTGCCTGTTGTAATAGAGCAGAATATGGGAAGCATATTTGTCTGTGGACAAAAGGTTTCTTTCCTAGGGGTTTCACTGCAAGATTTTTCATAAGCACTAATATATCATGAGGGGAAAAAAAGTCAATATAACTGATCTGAATTTACACTGAGTAAGTGGATTTCCAGGCTGTGGTCTCTGCGTACATGGCAGGAAGTGTGCAGTGTGTCTTTTAGACCCTATTTTCTCTTTTTTTCTTTCATTTTCAGGTGGAGGTTTAGTAAAAAGGTGAATAGGTACCTGTGGCAGATTCTGAGGGCTGACATGGACCATTTCTTTAATGCATTTATTAAAAAGCCGATTTGGATCTGTGTTAAGCAGAACTATTTTCCTTCACATGCAGTTTATAAACAGAAAGAAAAAGGGAATTCAACACACAGCAAGTAGCAAAGGGTAAAATTTAGATGCAGTTGAACACAGATGAACAGCCTTTCAGGAATCTGGTGGAAGTTTGCATTGTATATTAGGTGGGTTTTTGTGTTTTGATGGGGTTTGGTTTTGGTTTGGTTTGGTATACAGAACTCCAGGAATTCAAGAATATGGGTAAACAAATATTTGCAAGATGTATTCTTAGAAGTCAGTGTATATAACAGTGTCTTATAATTTTCATGATTGTGTACAGCCCCTGCTGCTACAAAAATAACAGATAATTGTGGATCAGCCCATGAGCTGGAGTCACCAGAAGTTCAGAATTGGGCAACATCATAGTTGAGGCTTGCACACTTTAGTGGTTAGCATCAATCTGTTTGGTGCAATGAATGTGCTACTGATTTACAAGAAACTGCAAACCAGAATAGACCGAATGTTGAAGGAACAGGATCTTGAGGCACTGAGCACTGTGCAGTTTGTTTGTGTGCTATGGCTTCTCGTTCTTAGAAACAGAACCAAAGGGCAGATCACTGAATAGGATGAAAGGTCTAGTTCATCTGGTGTTTTGTCTGCAGCAGCAAGTGAGCAGACTACAAGAAGGATAAAGGACTCAACATCCTCTGGCAGTGCACAAAAACCTCATGAACTTCCTGAGCCAGACATATCTTCATCAGCTACATCATGCAAGAGGAGCCTGAGAGGTCAGGCAATTACTATATCAATTAAACGTGTGTGTGCGTGTGTAAATACAGTTCTCCAAAGTTACTTGCCAATTTCAATACGACAAAAGATTACACTAGCACCATACACTAACACCGTACACCAATGCTATATGCTATTTTTTCTTCCATTTTCACATATATAAGTGCTGGATGACAAATTTTCTCCTAGGGACAGCAATACAGATATCCCAGTGTGAGCATTACAGAAATAGCACAGTTTGTTTAAAGAGCAATACATAAGAATTTATTGATGCTTTGCAACTGAGCTGGTTAGAAATATGTATGTGTACTTCTTGAGGGAAAGAAGTGCCTCAAAAGTTTTATCAATACTGAAAATGTGTTATG